ATAGTACCTACATTTTACGCAAAAATGAAATTACCGCGGGTTTTAAATTGAGTTGTAATTTTTATATATAGTTATCCTATAGGATTTCCCCTCCATTTTTATCTTCCACTTTTAAGATTTACCGTCTTAAGTAAATATAACTAGTAGAACCCGCGGCTTCGCTCGCGCTCATAGGTTTCATACAAACTTTCATCTCCTCTTTTACCCCATTATGGGATGAATTTCGAAAATGCTAAAACACGTATTTATTTAATAGTATTGAAAAGCACTAATACCAAGTTTCAAGTAATTCTGATCATAAATATATTTTTGGGTTGTATTATAAGTTACTAGCGGCTCACCCTCGCTTCGCTCGGGTTCGTCGCTAGGTACGTTTTAAATAGATATAAAAAGAAAAAATCTTTCTTTCTCACATTTTAATTATATGTTTTAATACTTACCTATTCCGGACTAAGAGAAATCCAAAAATTAAAATATCATAAAAATTGGAACGCGGTCGAACGGGATAAAAAGTATCCTATGTCCTTCTCCTGGCTCTAAACTACCTCCCTGCCAATTTTCAGCTAAATCGGTTCAGCCGTTCTTGAGTTATAAGCGAAGTAACTAACACGACTTTCTTTTATATATATAGATAACGTGTTTTCCGTTGGAAATGAGATAATCTCCCGCGGTAAAACTAGCATATATCACTCTTCAGCCCTTCATCTGTCTATACACAAAAAATCACGCCAAGCCGTCACTCTGTTTCGACGTGAGAGAAAGACAAACAAACAAACACTTTCACATTTATAATATTAATATAGATATCACCAATTTTTAGGTTCTTTATGTACATACATATATTACACATCATTGGCTGTTATTGAGCTTATCTTGTTTATCGATTATCTTGATGGATGAATACTTTTTTGCAGATTTTAGAACCGTATCAGCATAATGTACGTTATAATCAAAATATTTTTCAATGAGGACGTGCTAGTGTATGGAATGGTTTCATACCTTCTTTATGTTGCTTAGGAATTGCGATATTGTCATACGTCGTCACATTGTCCTCTTGAATACTGACAGATCCGTACAATTTACCTAATAGACAGTTTTACAATACCTACTACAATAGTGCATTGTGCATGTATCATGTATAGCTGTGGCAGAATCGCGTAATATTTATATTATTACGTTGTATGTCCGAGAGACGTACGAAAGCAAAGGATATATTAAATTGAAACCACTTAAATGTGATTATAAAGTATTCAGATTATATTGGTACTTTGATAAACGATGATGTTAAGCACTCTTAATTGATTAAATAAACACATTTTTTGTTTTCTGTAGACGATGTAATGTCTTTATTTATAAATAACTTTTTATGACTCTTAATAGAAAACACCAAGTAATTGTACTTTGATCTATAGTGTCTCCTTTGCAAACTCAAAGCGAGTTTTCTGTTGTCTAGTTTTCCATCTCCAACAATGCTATGTGCAGTCATTGTAAGACAATGGTAGTCATAAAGCATATTTGTCATACATACATATATAACTTACATACATCATATTAATAGGTACAGTATACTTGAGGCAAGACCTTCGTTAAAGGTTAGCATATCGGTTTAAATTCATTATGTCAAGAAGTTTCTCTTCCTAAAAACTATCTACCTTAACTGAAGTGCATAGAATATGATCTATGGAAAAATAGTGAAACAATAGAAAAAAACTATCCATTAACTCTAGTCTATAAACTACACTTTGTTCAAGTAGACTTTTATAAGACTTTTGATTTTTTCATTTAAATGAAATACCTTGTTGTATCCATGAGTAAGCTTCCAGCGCGGACAGTAGTTCTGCTGAGAATAACCAATGATTATATATTTTATGTTTTGACTAACTTTATGTTATTATAAAATGTTCATTAAGTATCAAGGTTATTGTATAATTAAATATTGCTTATATGTGTAAATGCATTTCCCAACATTAAAAAAAATATGTGTGTAGTTTGTACTTAGTAGGCACGTAAGAAGTTATACATCTTTTTTTTAGAGTATTTTAATAAAAGCTTGTTTAATCACACAGATTATAAATTAAAAAAAATTGGAATTTTTTTTTAAATGTTCTAATATTTCGTAGAAGGTTCTTTACATTAAAAAAAATAAGAAAATTGCGCAGAAGCTTAGAAAATGGGGATGAAAGTTTGTATTGAGCAGCAAGCTAGGGATGAACTCGAGCAAAGCGAGGGTGAGTCGCTAGTTATAACGTAAAAATGTTTCATACTATGGAAACCTCGATGTGCGAGCCAGATTTGCATTTAGCCGATTTTTTACATAATATGGCAGTGTGGACTGTGGATACTGGGCAGTCACATAAAACCGTTAGGTATATTTTGGTTCCGTGATTGCTTCTAATTCGTAATGTAATCGCAAAATTGGCTACAAAATTCAGTTTTTGGAAAAATATATCTACCTATTAAACTTAGGTATAAGTTGTTTTTAATGAAATATGTCTAGAATTTTAACTTTCAGTTTGAATAAATTTTAAGCGTGTAGTTTTATCGAAAAATGATAGTGGACGTTTTTTGTAAAGCGTTCCAATTCCCTACAAGAATATGTTTAGTCATTTGAATTCATGTATTGGTTTGTGAGATATAAAATTGTGAAATTGATAAATAATTTTTCCATGTTATTTCGATGGAAAATCTAAATTCGCGGTGCGCGACCTCTAAATATTAATATTAAGAGTTTCAATGTTTTCAGGTATCTTTTCTCACCTCTCTGAATCTATAATTCCGAGGGGATTCCGAAAAAAATAATAGTTGATTTTTTTGAATCAGTCTAATATATAATATATACATAGTATGATGTATTATTAACAATCATCTATTGACATACTTACGTAATGGTAATAGATACGAAATGTTAATTAAGCGACCAAGAACAATTTATATGGGAGAAAGAAACAATCTTTTTTTTACATGGATACATATATTCTGGGAAATTTTTACAATTTTTCAGTCCAAAAAAAAACTTAATCCTCGGACTGGTATGAACATGTAAAAAGAATAATTACCTAAATCCGTCTAGCTGTTCTGTCGTTTTCCGCTTAACAACGAACAATATTATATCTTTATTTATATAGACGTATGTTATGAGATATGGCTAGATAATAATAAAATATTTTTCCCATTTCATCTAATGAACATGAACTGATAAAAATTATGTTTTTAACAAATAAAACATCATTAGTAGATAAATAGGTCTAAAATAGCCCAGAATTTGAGACACAATCATTTTACCTACTATTATAAACAAAGTTAAGAAAATTAATTGAAGTGCACATTGACGTTATAAAATGAATAAATTAATTAAAATCTGGTATATGCGAACGTACATAAATGCTTAATACGTGACAGGTTACTTGCTAATTAATTGTCCGTGGAATATTCATTGTCACATTCTTAGATTATGTATACTTAGAAAAAGTACCTTGACTTATTAAGAGGCAGACAATACAGAGCCTTAGAGACTTAAGAAGGATTTATTGACATTCCAACCCTCAAACATATGTATATCGTGAGATGCAACGAATGTATGGAATATATCAAATATTTCTGATCTAATACAAATTAGGTATTGGTAAAAATAATATGCAGCTAGAAGCAAGGGCAGATTTCTAGTTGTCTATATACATATAATGTATATAATATGAAATTTTAGGTTTGTGTTTTTAATGCCGAATCATAAATTTTTTTTGTATATAGTTTTATTTAAAATGTCAAATATTCGCGTAAATCTAAGAAAGTATTATAAAAATGTTTGTCCTAAAAATTAAAAAAAAATGGAATGGACCACCCTTATCACTTAGAGTATGAGAAATAGTTTATGTCCTATTTTTAGAGCTACTGAATATATTCCAATTCCCAGGTATCAGGTAATCAAGGTACTTCAAAAGATTACTTACCTCACGTACATTCTCCAAGTTGATTTTCACGTATATTTTAGACAATATTGTTAAAACTAGTCTAGTCGTCTATACTCCCAGACACTTTCCGTCGGCCGTATTGCTTTGCAGACTCTTTAAAGGTCCCAAAATAATTACTTAACTACACGTAAAAACTGATGCTCCATTTTTGTATATGTTCGCAAGACAAGTATTTTAGTTAGTTTATGTGTTGATTGCTCCCTTGGATTGGTCTATGTTCTTGAAAAAGGTTTTAAAATACTTGTCTTGCGAACATATACAAAAATGGAGCATCAGAATTTACGTGAAGTTAAGTAATTATTTTGGGACCTTTAAAGCGTCTGCAAAGCAATACAGCCGACGGAAAGTGTCTGGGAGTATATACGACTTATTTTTAACGATATTGTCTAAAATATACGTGAAAATCAGTTTGGAGAATGTACGTGAGGTAAGTAATCTTTTAAAGTACCTTGATTACCTGATACCTGGGAATTGTCCGTCTAACTAAGTTAGCAGGTAGGAATGCTATCTTAGTACATACTAACACTACCCAATCATCCACATTTCGTTCGTCAGAAAATACGTGACGTCTGGCGGCCCTGGGATCTTGGACTATAGTGTCTAGTGGGTCACCCTCGCTTCGCTCGGGTTTGTCTCTAGAAAAACAAAAACAATTCTATTCCACGATAACCGTACATTTTTGTGGGATAAAAGTGGAGTTAAAAGTCAAATATTATATATTTAAATTTGAACCATAAATTACTTGGATGGATAAATTATTTTTAATTCTTAGACGTAGTTTTAATGATTTTAGTGAGTTTTATTTATTTTGTCTTTGTATTATTTTTTGCACTTCTCATAAATACCTACCTACATTCATATTTGATCGCTAAATGTAAAAGAAAATTATAATGTATTTTTATTTCGATTTACCCATTTATTTATAGCGTCACTATACAGTATCTTTGTAAACATTACGTTATATTCATTTATCACTTCACGCTTTTTGTATTATTTTCTGTTTATTTATTTTATTTTTTTATGTCATTTCAGAGGGTGATAGCTCAGCAACACCATCATGCTGCAGGTAAGTCCTTAATTTTTTTTTGATCACCAATTATTATAACGTTATTAGTATGCTTATCATGTTATCAAGCTTTTTTTGTGGTAAGAGTCATTTCTTTCGTTATACGAGTATAAGTCGCAGGTAAATTGTAATAACCGTGAATTTATAATTACCCGGAGTTTTGTTGATCGTCTTCTTTTCTTACAATATTACGGCGCAAGTTTAGGTATATTATAATTTCACTAAACACATTTAGTGGTATTGTAATTATCCTAGTTAATTTGTCAATAGTAGCAATACTTGGATGTGATGGGAAGCCTCGGTCCATTCTGATTAGTGTGGTATTAGTATTCAGCCCTTTTTGACGTCCCATTGCTGGGCACTGGCCTCCCTTCAGTAAGAGGGAGATCAGGCTATAGACCACCACGCTGGCCAAGTGCGGGTTTGCGGACTTCACATGTCTTTCGAAAACTTGTTAGATTATCTCAGACGTGCAGGTTTTCTTATGATGTTTTTCTTCACCTGTAAGACAAGTGGTGATCATGTTGAAAATGATTCGCACATGAAAATATCAGAAGTGCGAGACCCGGGATTTGAACCCGCTTTACTCAGTTACCCAAGCGACCACATCACTGGGCTACCACTGCCTCTGCCATGCTGATGGGTCGTCGGTAAATAATTAAAAATATTATATTTCTATTCCTGTATTTATAAGTGTATGATTCATGCTATGCATCAAAAAACTTGTCTGAATCTGTCAATCAGTGACCGTTTCACAGTATAATGACTTTTAGTATTTAGTGAAATTGTCAAAATCTCATTGATTAACAATATCACTAAATGTGCTTAGAGAAATTATAATGTAGTGTAAGTTAGCATTTTTATGTATGAGCGTTTTAATAGAAAATAAAATATTTCATTAATTGGTAATGATTTATGTGTAAGGCATTTATTTATGTGACTTTGGCCAGAAGAAATGTATTTAAAAAAATAAAAAGGACGGGGTTATTTGTTTTTAACAGAGATGTCGGTACCACATTGTAGTGAGTACTCATTAACCGTTTGTAATACTGTAAATTAATTATAATTGTAAATTATGTGACTCATTATTTAAAAGAGTGTTAAGTTTCTTGCCGGCTCTTCTCAGCAGAACTGTTTTCCAAGGCGGCTACCACTGCCTTTCCCCACGGACAAACGTACTGACGATTCTAAAATAATTAAATTGATGTTCCAAAAGCACTGAATAAATACACATGTAATAAAACTGTAGAGAGAAAATAGAATGTCTGTACACAGTTTTTTTTTGCTAAAAGCAGAGTCAGGGGGGTGTAAGAAGAGAAATAGAACAAATCCAGTTTTTTTTTTCGATTTTTTTTACTCCATGCAAGTGCAGCCGCGGGAAGAAAGCTTTTAAAAAGTAAGAAAGACGTTTTATATTATATGTAACGCATGATTTAACCTAAAAAACATACGAGGCTGTAAGTTTTAGGTGTATATAACATAGGATCTTTAAAAAATAAGGTAGATGTTAGCCTGTTAATTAAAAATGCTATATTAGCCGAGTTACATGATTCTAACGTCGTAAATATTGTATGCGAGTTGCACCATTGTACTCTCTTCCTCTAGCTTTGGAAAAATGGAGTAGAAAAATGTGTAAAATAGAGATAGTGGAGATTGGTAACTATTTTAAACGAAAATTAATACTGAGAATTTACATAAAATATCTTTTAAGATACTTATTTTGAGTTGCGATCACTAAAATTAAGTTGGTTTTCCATTATATATTTAAGAAACACGTTATTTTTGCAGTAATAAAGTATGTATTGTAAGAAACGACAAAAAAAAAATACTTTGTAAAGAATAAAGATATTAGTGATAACAACACAATATTCGGCGGTACGGAACCCTCGATGGACGAGTCAGAATTATACTCACATATTTGAAAATCATTACAGCCATAAAATTATTATTAGTTATAACTTATAGCCAAAGAGTTTTTTTTAGTAGTTTGAACGCGGGCGAAGTCGCGGGTACTGTTAGTATTTATTAATTGACAATAATTGGATTGAGTTCTTGAAGTTTAATTTCTCATTTACCTATTAATGATGTAGGAGGTAAATAGATAGGTACTGTGTCTGATACGTAATTATATTTTTTATAAATGTTCATCGATTTAACCGATTTAACTCTGTGTAGTTTTAATTGATTTATTTTAGATTTAAACAGATCAAAAGATCGTCTCAATGTATTATTTTCTTTAACATAGATCTTACAGTTTTTGAGAAAATCAGAAAAATCATAGAATTTACAGGTATATAAATAAATGTACTCGTAGTAAGACAATTTTAAAGTACTTCGTTCGAATAATGATCTTAAATTGCGAATGTGATGAGAATTGTATTTGCAATTATGCACTATTCTAATAGTGGACACTAGATTTAATAGTGTGATTTTTAGCGTTACTGAGAGCTTATTGTTTAGTTTATAAGTAAAATATAAATAACAATTGATATTTTTATTTCACTATTATTGTCAGACTTACTCGTATATAAACATATTTTTATATTCATTATAATAGTCAGTTTATATTTTTCTTAAGCTAAAAACTTATTGTATAGTTCATAACTTCTATTTCTATTCTAAACAATGTATTCAATTGATATAAAACGTTATTAATTTGCTGTGAAAATTTGTCTTAAATTGAAAAACTAATTAACAACGACATTATATTTGTTATATATTATATTTGTTATATAACACACAAGCAGAATCCGCGGCTTCGTCCGCGTTCACAGTACAAAGTACAAGTCTTCTTTCTCTTTCCTTTATAATAATTTATAGAAGTCTGTCCGATTTGTTGACATTTATGACGACAGCTCCGCTCCCTTGGGTAGTAGCATGATGATATAATATAGCCTATATAGCCCTCTTTAATAAACGGGCTACCTAATGTATAAAAAGAATTTTTCAAATCCGATTAGTAGTTCCAGAGATTAGCTTGTTCAAACAAACAAACTGTCTCTTTATAAAAAGAATTTAGGGCATGAATTTATAAAAAAATATTAGATTTGTGTCCATCTCTTGTATCTATATAAATAAAAATGACTATTTCTTTGTATATCTGTACTTTATGCATTTTATCCGATTGTAAGGATTTTTTGTGCTTTGTTCTACGTACGCCCGTGAAGATTCTTAGCCAAAAAATATTTTTTTGTATGTTTGTCTTCTATGCGTTACTAATCTATGCGTTATATTCATCCCCAGAGACGCACCTTAGCGAAGCGAGGGTAACCCGCTATTACAAAATAAAATCATAACATAACTATAGGAGTTTTCTCTCTTGTCATGGTTTTATTGATCTTTATTCAGCGTGCCTCTAGTTTAGCCTTGGACAGTTTAGTTTAGCATTTAAGTATTTAGCAATAAATAGGTACTTTATTTTGTTTTGTAAAGTAGGTAAAATTATAAAATTGACCTTGAAATGAAATTGTTTATTTTATTATTAAAATTCACAACATTCAAAGTACATCGCGTGCTCACCGTACGGTCAAAGTTGCCTTTGGAATTGGCGCTCTCTCGTTCCCGCTCTGCTTATTTGTTATATTACGTTACTTTAGATTCAGTGTTACCACGACCGCCGCGAGCGTGTGACGTTGCGCGCACGTAATATTACGATACTAAATAATGATAAAATGAACTCTATATTTTTATCAAGAATGCAACAGAGTGTTGTGCTATGCAAACTTATTTTGTAATTGACTTTAAAATATCACGAATGCGCTGTTCGGTAAAATCTCAATAGTTGTGAGGTGTTTACGTTTTGGCATAGAGCACATGTGCACGTACGTTTTTATGATAGCTTGACGCAATGCCGTAGTAAACAAATACCACTTTTGTGCATAAATGTTAAATTTACTATAAAATCTTTTTCTTCCTCTTCGATATTATGTTTTGGCAGTAATGTAACCTATCCTTAATGGTTAAATCGTTGCACACAAAGGGAGAATAGAGTAGTACTAATATCAATAGATGACTACCGATGATAAAGATAATCAAATCCCGCAGGTCAACAGGTTTTGTGTTTGTACGCCTAAAGATGTGAATGTAGAAACAAATAGATTACAAAGTATAGAGTTACTTTATAGTTCCGGATATCAGATAAAGTATTTTATTTGATAAATTTAAATTGATTTGTATAAATACTGAATGTTTAAAGAAAATATTGTGTTTTTATTGAAATCAGTAAATGCGAATATCTTGAAAATTCACTTAAACTATAAATCCTCCATTTGTCATATGAATCGTTTATACTAACTACTAAATAATTTAAAATTTACTATTCAGAATAGGATACACATTATATAATGAAAAATAGAAGTTATTTTTAATTCGACATTTTTCATTTGGACATCTTTCTGCATACATTTGGACGATTAAATAATTGCAAACGGTAGAGTTATTCTTAAAGTTTGAGTAATATTCAGTCCATGACTCTAACTGTAACCGTGACCTCTGCCATACATGTTAACGAGTACTACTGAAGAAAGAACAAAATGCGCATTAAGGTTCCTAATAAAACTTATTAGATACTCGTAATTAATTGAAATATATTAAAGTAAATGAAATACTATTAAATGAGCCCTTTTGTGTAATAAAAAAGTACAGCATATGGTTGTTTTTCTTTGCATTATTTAATACGGTCAACTCAAAACTTAAAATAATCAAGTCAAGGTTATTTACAAAAAAAAATACCTAATTACGAAAAAAATGTGATGTAGTAACTTGTAACTGACACATATCAAATATCCCGTCCAACATCATCCTAGAAAACGGTTAATAATTAATATATAACTATTTATAATTCTGGAATAAAATAAAAAAATACATAAGCGGTCGGGGGACCCCCGTCAGGAATGAAGTTCCTCAATCCTCACGCCTTTTCTTCAATTCCGAATGTAATTTGATATAAAGTGTGTATTGGCACATTCCACGGATGTAATACTTTGGCATGATAATGCCTTAGAGGCATGGATAACTTACTCTTTAAGTTTGTATTACATATACTGTCTGCAGTTTCCGCTTCTTAAATCTGCATTACAAAATTGCAATAATTAGACAATGTAATAAACTTTTAAAACGATTTTATTTAACGGGAGTGTACTATCGAGAATATTTAACACGTGATGTAAACAAGTATGGCGACCAGCGCCTTTTCGTTGTTGCGATTTCTAACTGTCAACTCCTTTTTTTTAATTTTGGGAAATGCATTTACGCATACCACCTATATACGTACAGGTGGCTATGTGGAACTCACTGGCTAGAAAAACAAGTACTACTCACTAAAACCTAAAACCTCCCGTGTCTTAATGGGGTGTCGCTGGTTCGCTTACGCATTCAATCACGACGCCCCGACGGCCAATCTGCAAAAGCAGATTACACAACCAAGGGGTTGCTCCCACGGTCTACTCTGCTGTCAGAGAAGTAACAGGAGCAATACGCATGGTATACACCAACTACCGTAATGGGCTACCTTCCTGTGTGTTTCTAAGCTTCGCGCCCGACTTTCCAGGTTTCCAGACGCTAATTATCCCGTCTTTCCCAAGCCCTCCCCCCACCAAAACCACGCTAAGGTGAACACATATCGGGGGGTACCTGTCAACTCCTACCGCAAGCAGCGTTAAGAAACTTCGAAAGATTTACGAGAAAAACATAAATTTATACCTAAGCATTGTCCTTATTTTCAATGTTATTCAATGACCTCGCAGTATGTCACCAAGCTACTGTGAAGGAAATAATTACTCATTATTATAATTTGTAAGACATATTTGTCAGCAGTAATAATTTTTGCGGTACCAAATTCAAGCGACATGCGAAATGTAAAAGAAACCGAATGATGCTTCGCTAGAAACGAAGATTGTCAAGCTCAGACTTTTGAAAGATTCTGTTTATCATTCTCTTAATGTTGTTTCTGTTAATCTTTAATCATCCGTCTAAATCTCTGAAAATTAGTAAAAGATTTTACGTAAAGCGGCCAGTTATTAGGTGAACTACAGTGGTAGAGATCGCATAGACGCTCGGATCTTCGATATGCTTAGATTTATAACGTATATATTTTATGTTGATTTTTTTTTTATAATAAATTATAGCTGGCTGGACCCTCTACATACGGGAATAGTCTTAGGTGCTGTCTGTCTGTATGTAGTGGATTTAGGTTTGATGGCGCCCTAGGACCAAATCGATATAGCGACCTTTTTCTTTCGTAACAGTATATATTATATTACAGAGATTAATTATTTTAACAAAGAAATTCTACCCTTGAAATGGTACTATGTTTAGTTTGTAAGAGCGCAAGAAAATAAACTTTAAAATGTGGTCTTACATTTTACAGAAAACCCAATCGATTTTTTATTTTAGTCGTCTTAAAAATTTGTCGCCCCTCATAATTTGCCGCCCTAGGCCTGGGCCTCGCGGGCCTAAGCTTAAATCCGCTTCTGTGCAAATCAATGTTTGAAGTTCTGACCCTGAATCGAACCATCTGTGCGATTCATGCAAGCAAGGAACACTGCGCTTTCATGTTTTTCATTATAAAAAGCATTAGATTTGAAATGTTATTGAAAATGAAAAATAAAAAGAAAACACGTTATTATTAGACATGCTAAAACTTTTGATATTATTTTTGAACATTGATTAAATATATGTATAACTTTTGCATTTATGTATTTAAAGTTTATCAATTTCGTTATATACTATAATATTATGTATCTATTTAGAAAAGATAAGTTAGTTACAGATTGGAAAGTTATGTTATTTATTAATATCTTTTTGAAAAATATTGCATGCTTTTTATGAATCCGTACGTAGTGTGAACAACGTTATAATCTCTATTTTTAGATTGATATTAAATATTCTGCGCTTACAAAATATTGTATAGCACACATTTATGTGTTGCTTCGAAATACCGATCACTTTTATAAGGGTCTAAATATTATGCGTTTATTAATTTTAAAAAGGAACATAAATAAATATGCAACTATTGCTATTTAATGTTTATGTACATAAAAATAATATAAATGCACAATTTTTCTAAACGTAATAAGCCCGATAGGACAGCATCTTTTTTTAATATTTTTTTGCTTAGAGACTAGATAGTCTCTTTATTTTGTTTGGAATAAGGTAACAGAGTAGTAAACGTTGATATCAAAATTGATGCTATCAAAAAGAAGAAAAACAAGAATTTGAGATGCCCTATAATCAAGGCTTAGGCACATATGATTTTTAAAATCAATTTTTATAAACCTTATTTATATTTAGGCCATAAACTAATAATTATTTTATACAGGTTTCGTTTAAATAAACAATTGCTTTTAAGATCTATAAAAGTATAATTTATCTTAACAACTTTTACCACAATCGTTTTTAATGAGAATATTCACATAGCTTGATAGTATAATTTAAAATGGAAAATATATTACTCAGTTTTTTTTATTAGCTTTAAATAAGTAGCGATTTTAATAGTTTTTTTTTCATTCTTTCAACATTTCTTTTTAACACCTTTTGTGGTGTTAACCATTTCCTTTATTATGGAAAGAATATCTTCGAAAAACTCACAAGTTATTATATATGAACACACAGCAAATTACATATTTACATTCACTGAACTACATTTTATTTATTTTTATTAAATAGTTCATACGAGTACATTACATAAAAGAAATGATACTTATTATTCAAATACTTTTAACTATACATACCTTAAATAATTTACGAATTTATCTATACTAATATTATAAAGAGGTAAAGTTTGTGAATTGTGAGTTTGTGACGTTGTAGGGGGTAATCTCTGGATCTACTTAACCAATTTAGATGAAATATAGTAAAAAGATAGTTTGAGACCCTGGGAATGACATAGGATATTTTATCCCGGAATCATCCCTTATTTGGGTGAAAATGGGGATGAAAGTTTGTATGGGGAATCAAAGTTCGCTAAAGTATCGCTAGTATACTATATCTTACTATGCATATGCATACAGTATTTATTATTATGTATATACTTCGTATAGAATACACATACTATTTTTTATTATTATAAATGAATTTTAAATAATATTGATCATTTCAATTAAGGGAGCAAATGTGGAGCACCATATTATTGTTTTACTGAAGCCAGTTTCGCCGGATATTCTCTGAAGGTGACCTCATACGCGCATGCGTCTTGTCTTATAAAATGCCATCCGCATTTATTTCAAGGCTAACCATCTTTTCCCCTTTTTCGCGTGATTGCACTCCCTAAATAGTGTACGCTGACCTTGAAATGCTTACTTTATTTAACTAATAAACCGGTTGTCGTTCAACATAGGCGCACCATTAAACAGGAACCCCTTACAAAAGCTTATTGACGCCCCAAAGACTTCTTGTTTGACTATATAAATGATTTTTGTGAACTTTTTCATTTTATGATTGTATAAAAACACACTTTATAATTTTAATGTAATTACCTAGATACGTGGTTTGGTTTGACTTGTATCAGTATGCACTTTGACGATTGATTTTAAATAATACATATTAAAGAAAATGTACATTGCAAAATATCAGTGATATGTACATATTTGCAGAACTAATTATAGCGTATATTTAATTGTTATAATGAAAACAGCGTAATCGTGGTAATTTGGTAATGTAAACAGATGCATCATTTATGGAGGTGGTTTTTGTAGTGAAAAGTGCTAAACTTTAATAAAATGCATGGAATCAGCCATTTTCTTCACAAACACAATTCAAGGGAATCTACTCCTCCTTTAGAAAAAGATGATAGTTCTGAAAGCTGGTGTTCAACACTAAGTTCAACCGATTCTCGTTCTTCTGTGCAAAACGATAATCAAACAAAGGCGATTCCAATTGGTCGCAGAGGATGTTGTACTCATCGAAGTCTTCGTGGAAGTCCTATGGATTCTGCGTCAAGTCCTCGTGATCGATATCCGAATTTTTCTAGCTATTTCCGAGATGTCATGGAAGGTCATGGCTCGCCATCTCCACAACATTATCACTCACACTATCTTGATAATAAACTAAGAAGATTTGAGGAGGAACGATATCAAACTAGCACGAGTACCTATCAAACTCCACGTCATGATTATAGGCATTACGTCTCCCCTCTGTTTAATGAAGTAATGGATAATATTCAGGAAAACGAGTACAGTAAGTGCGAAAGATATGGTGAAATAAGCAGTACAAAATTATCACATGCTCCCCATAGAAGTCGTTTTGATAATAAAAGTTTTGCGCAGAAATTATCCGAAAGTGTTAACAGTAGTAAAGAACAGCAACATACTACCGAAAGACGTGGTTCTGGATCTAGTACTAGTGGTCACAGACACAAACATCACTCTATACAGGAGCTAATCCGTACGTTTAGTAAAAAAATGGGCCACTGGCGTCACGATGGAGGCGAAGGTCGTCGCGGATCATGTGCTGCACCAATGGTTGCTTCTGAAAGCACAGCACAAAGTGACGAGTTTCGGTCACGTTCAAAGTCGCTAGATGGCGATCACATACAAACAGTATTAAAAAGATCAGTTCTTGAAGATTGTGGAGCAACATATCAAATATTCGAAACGATATTAAAAGAAGGTAGGTAATTGAAACTTTTAAAATTTTACAAAAAGCCACAATTGGTGGAAATATTACATTAAAAGCGATAAATAATTAATTTTAATAAATTGGTAAATAGACTTCAAATTAATCATATATTTTTTTAATATTTATATATGAACAATTAGCGAAGATATCACATAACATATGTAATATAAACCTCCTCCTTTTTTGAAATCGGTCAAACAGTTATAAATAATATAAGTTCTATAAACTATAAACAAGTCTATTTCCTTCCTAGAGATACATAGAATGTATCATTTACATCATTTCCTATTTTATGGTCTCTAAGGTCATATTTATCTGACTTTAAATTGCGTTCACTGAATGAAAAAATAATTAAAACAAAAAGGGAAATAAGTAGTTTATAATAATCATAAAGGAAAATAACTATAGACTACTAAGATAAAGCTTCTTGTTATGCGTAAAGAAGTTAATATTTGCTAATGTGCAATGCATTATTATTTCGTCCTTTTATGACTCGCGTCGCGTGTTTCCTTAACTAATAATTATATAATCTTGCTTTGCATATTTATTATCCATATATACCTGTACATAGGTATGATGAATTGTTGATAACGTGTTTTCCCGTGGGAATCCGGCAAATCCGTCATTCTGCAAATCCGTCATTCTGTTTCGACGTGAAAGAAGGGAAAACACATACTTTCTCATTTATAAATTATAATACTCGTATTAGTAGACTGGTCGTCACCCGCCTGCTTAGTTGGACGGACGTTAATGTTTCGTTTGGTCTTCAGAAATCTTAAAGTATATTTAAGTTTTACTTATAAATTTAATATTTAGAGCAAATAAAATTAAATGGCGTGACAAAGGAAATATATTTGTATTGATATATATTTAAATGATGTCAAGGTCGATAACTAAAAAATATTTATTTCTGCTATATGGTCTATTTCATCCTACAAATATATGTACGTACTGAACAAAACTATTGGTAATTTCCTAGATAAAACTAGCATTCATGATTTAAGAGGCCGTATACGAAATCAAAACGAGCGAAATTAGCCATTTGACGTCAAAAAAAATCATCATAAACTTTATAGTCGATTTTTGCCTCTTCGACTTGTGCAAATCGGCAGATTATTGATTTGGATACTTTTCAGGATGCGACTAGCCTACCACACCTTAATCTGACGGTTTCAAGTATTTCTACCTTATCAAAACATTTTTTAAATATTTTGATCGGCTTCCCTAGACGCGCGCCTTTATATAGAAGACTTATATTATGGTGAAAGTACTCAATAGAGTGCAAGGTAACCTCTTTTATGTTAATCTGCCGCGCTTGAGTAACTACAAAAATCCCCTCTTGGGCTCCCCTACTAAGATATTTTCGAAGTCAGTGCCAGCCGACAATATTTTAAGATTTGAATATCTAATAGGCAAATATGTAATTTACGTATCTAATAATTAGGCTAAAATTTTTAGCACCTAAAAAAAGTAAATAAATATTATTTTACTAGGGACTCAACCTCGCTTTGCTTGGGTTCATCCCTATATACACATACATACATACATACATACATACATACATACATACATACATACATACATACATACATACACACATACACACACAGAGATCTGATGAGTTTTATAACCTTTATTGTTAAATGATTGATTCCCCATACAAATTTTCACTCCCTTAAGGGATTATTTCCAGGGTAAAAACTATCCTATGTCCTTCCTAGGGTCTCAAATTATGTCCATACCAAATTTCGTCTAAATCGGTGGATTAAGCGTGAAAAGGCAACAGACAGACAGAGCTACTTTCGCTTTTATATATTTGTATGGATTAAACTAACAGAATAACTTTCGTACTTATATATTAGTATTGAGAAAACAGTACTAGTAGAATACGTAGGTACTTATACTAAAATACATTAAACAAAATTAGACATTTAAATATCATTAATAACCTACACTATTACTTGTATTAAAAATCTAAATAAAATATTTTTGTACAAAAGTATCACAATTCACAAACTCGTGTAGAGCTATACACATCGCTACACTCAGGTCAGTTACACTAGTCACGTGACATCTTGACACGCAGAGCGATACATCCACCCCCTAGAAGCGCTCGGCGCGGTCTGCTGGCTCGAAGCTTGCGTCGAGTAATATATATTGCGAGATTCAGAAGATTTGTTTTTGCAAGTATAGTTTTTACATTTAATTTCTTTTTTAAGAAATGAACAGTCCTTGAACTGAAGTTAATTTCTGTAATTTACTTTTTATGAACGAGTGATCTATGTAGCCAAATACACCAGAAATCCTTTAATTTTTTCATATTATTTAGAGGTCAAAACAATCCGTAAATGGAGAGATCCTAAACCTCTTACAGCAAAAATTCATTATTCAGTCGCGGGTTTGAGGTCGATAATTCAAAATTAAATACTTAAAATAAAAAAGTAGGCCACACATTGGATTATAAATGAAATGATCTTTCATATTACGTATTTACTTATAGAAAAAAAAATTTTAACTGTGAAATAGCGTTGATAAAGTCGGCAAAATTTCGTATACGGACTCTTAATTCTAGCGACTTACCCTTCGTTCGGTGTGTCCCTGGTGCACAAGAGTAGCCTATGTGTTATTCGGGCTCATATTCTGGGTACTTTTCATACAAAATTTTTACAATACAATTTTTTATTAATAATAAATATATATTTTATATTATATTATTTATATATATTATATTTATATATTTTATATTATATTTACAATATTTTCATACAATTTTTTAACTAACAAAATTGATAATTCTAGGTTAACCGGAAGTAGGTACCCTATGGGTTTTGGGTCGAAAATCTGTATGGTATTTCCCGTTGACCTAGAATCACGAAATTTGACAAAAAACGGTATCTTACAGCACTAATAAAGGAAAAGTTCCAAAAAATAAAGAAAGTTGAAAATTAAAGTGAAACAGGTTTCTTACAAATTTGTATGGAACCCTCGGTGGGCGAGTCCGACTCGCACATGTCCGGCATTTTTTACCACTCCTCTTGATTTGATAACTAGTTCGTGTTTGTAAAAAGCCGAAATAGGAATTTATCTTTTTCTATTAAAGCTTTTTATTTCGATGTAAAACACAACAGTCTCTATTATTTTGTAAGCTAACAGCTAAATACATAATCGTTGGCTCACTATTACAAGGTTCTATGTTAATTTTAATAAAGTTTAGTAATTTTTACATAGAACCTCGTTATTTTGTTATCGTAAAAACAACAACATAGAACTATGTAAAATTGAATATTTTGTAGTTAAAGTGCTGCTATCTAGTGGTTTGTTTTTGCAAAACTGTAGCTAATGATACATAAAACCTTGTAGCATTAATAACTAAATGAGTACTAAAATTGTAACATAGAACCTTGTAATTGTGAACCAATTATGACAATACAGCAGTAAAGCTACATATTTCAATATCTATACATATATAATAAACTGATCGTTGTCTGTATAAGAAAGATATTTGAGAAAAACTATTGTTAATATATACATATACCGTAAATATACAAAGATTCATAATGAAAAGGAAGCATTAAACAAGTCGACTCTTTAGATATTACCAATATACCTATTATTACCTATTACCTATATAATATTCAACATTTTATTAATTAATACTTTTATTTGAGAATATTATTATTATTATTTGTATCTTTCTAGATTTCACGGGCTCGTAGGAAGCCTGATCCTTTGGGAATTTTAAATGGGAACTCATTTAGTGTCCCCTTGAGAGATTTAAATTCGTGTGACGTAACGACCAGCCGGGTTCAACCTCTAAATAACCCATAGGGAATTTCCTAAAAATTGTTATCGAATACCTACGTAGTATGTAGGGACTGTCGTAAATATGAAAAACTAAATAGAGATGTGGAATGGACTCGGAATGGGCTTAAATAACAGGGTTTTTATATGGGACTACCGGACGTCCGCCTTCTCAATAGTCTCAGAATGAACATTTGGTGGATGGTAACGCGCCCTCCACTAGATAGTCTCTTAATAGCTAATTCTCTTAATGAAACATCGGGGTGGTCGTCTTCTAAGGGTATTATTGACTGAAGTACACCGGTTTCACCGTCGTGAAATTGGTCATAAACTGATTTCCCTGTTATTACGCACATTGAGCACTCCCGCTATTTTCAGCATTTGCAGTCCATGCCGACGGCTAACAAAGGCAATTTGAGGCAAGGCAGATGTCGTTTCCCCCTCGAGGTTTCAAATCCGTGATATCGCCACTCACCAACAGCTAGCTACAAGCTGCCCCGTAGCCTTATTACTATTATTATTATTTGTAATTCTTTAGACTTCGCGAACCCGAATGAACCCGGTTCTTTAGTAGGTTGGTGTTGCTTTTCGAGAGATACAAACCTGTCTCATTATTTCGAGAGTATTCGTGAGCGGGTTTCTGTTCTATTGCTCAGATTAAACACAAAGCTATTGCACACTACTTTGGACGGCCATTGATGCTTGCCATGCGAGGGAGGGCAGATGTTGTTTCCTCCTGGACATCGCAGATCTGCGGTGTCGTTACTCACCAACAGCTCGCCACAAACTGCACAGTCTATTATTATTTATATATCTTATATCACGGGTTTACAGCAAACAATTCCTTTGGAAGACTTGCGGGGCGGGAATATATCCAGGACGTGACGCATCAGCCAGGATACATCTCTGGGTAGTCCATGGGAAGTTGACCTTAAGATACGCGTCAGCTAATGCGTAAGAACTATGGATAGTAGGAAAACTACATGGAACTGTCTAATATAGTTTGATTGGGTTAAAAGACTGGGCTATTAGGCTATTCGACTGAGAATGCTAGATGTCTGCTTCCTTAACAGTACGAAATTGACCATCAGGCAGATGCTGATATGCCTCCCATTAGATAGATTCTTTAAAAATGCCTCGGGTGCGAAATTGGCGTGGTCGGCTGAATGTGCCGAGAGGTATGCACCCGT